GTCATCATTACTCACATGTAATAAACTTGCTTTCTGTCATCATTTGTGGATTTCTTATGTTTACTAGAATCCATGAATACTCAAAAGTTGAGGAACTCAAGTTGGGGATAGCACTTGAATACTTAGCAGCAGTAAAATTTTGTGATAAATTTGACATAAAAATACTCCTATTTTCCTCTGTTTCTCGATCCACCCTGTGTAATAAGACCATAGTTCCTCTCTCAATCCTTGAATCTTAGCCTTGGGACTTGCCTTGGCCAACTGATGAGGTGGCTAAGGGGTGGTGTGCCAGGACCTTGTACACTTCTGCTCTCTCACTCTGTCCAGGAGCTGAGCTAGTCTGATGAGATTTTAGGGATTACATAAAGAAGAACTCAATTGTCCCTGGCAAAGCTATCCCAGACCAATAGACAGCCAAGTGAACACTACATATGTGACAGAGTCTAGTCAAGATCAGCACAGCCATCAACCCAACTGTGGATGCCTGAATGAGCTCAGCTCACACACACAAAATGGGTTGGCTGAAGCATATCCTGTGAAGGATCGTAAGTGCTTATTACATATAGCATTTTAGGGCTTTAAAATGCAGCAATCATTGAAAAATACAATGTTGTTTATGGAGCCAGTGATTCTTTTTTTTTTAATCTTAGCCATTGCTGTAATCTATAAAAATGTCCTTTGCTCAGCCCCAGAGTAAAGATCAGATTAGCTCCTAGACCACTCTCTCACTTTAACTTTAAATAAACCTTTTAGAGCTCCATCATTGTAACTTCTGAACCATACAATTAAGAAGGGCGGGGTCATGCCTATCTTTCCAATTACTGATGAGTCGGCACATTACAAATTATCTGGTATACAGAATCACTGGATAATTATGCTAAATGAACGAAAGCTAAAAGTTCTTATGGATAAGGAGCAATGCCTCTAAGGAAACCTGATTGATATTGAAAGTGTCTCACTATTTTGGAAAGTTCTCCTTTTTAATAAAAAGGACCTGAACAGACGCTTCTCAGAAGAGGATATAAAATCAATCAACATATATACGAAAAAATGCTCACCATCTCTAGCAATCAGAGAAATGCAAATTAAAACTACTCTAAGATACCATCTCACTTCAGTCAGAATGGCAGCCATGATGAAGACAAACAACAAGTGCTGGCGAGGATGTGGGGGAAAAGGTACACTCTTACACTGCTAGTGGGACTGCAAATTGGTGCAGCCAATTTGGAAAGCAGTATGGAGATTCCTTGGAAAGCAGGGAATGTGACCACCATTTGACCCAGCTATTCCTCTTCTCAGACTATACCCAAAGGACCTAAAAACAGCATACTACAGGGACACAGCCACATCAATGTTTATAGCACCACAATTCACAATAGCTAGACTGTGGAGCCAATCTAGATGCCCTTCAATGAATAAATGGATAAAAAAAGCAGCATATATACACAATGGAATATTACTCAGTACTAAAAAATAGTAAGATCATGGCATGTGCAAGGAAATGGATGGCATTGGAGCAGATTATGCTGAGTGAAGTTACCCAATCCCCAAAAAACAAATGCCGAATGTCTTCTCTGATATAAGGGAGGGGGATGACTCAAAATGGTGTAGGGAGGAAGAGCATGGGAAGAAGATTACCTCTAGATAGGGAAGAGAGGTGGGAGGGAAAGGGAGGGAGAAGGGAAATTGCATGAATGGTGGAAGGAGACCCTCATTGTTATACAAAATACATGTATGAAAAAAAAAGAATAGCATTACCTTAGATTAAGAAGAGAGAAGTGATGGGAGGGGAGGGGAGGGAATGGGGGGATAGGAAGGATAGTAGAATAAAACACACATTATTATTACTGTGTGTATATATGTGACTGCATGACCAATATGATTCTGCAACCTGTACACTCAGAAAAATGAGAAATTATATCCCTTCTGATTCAAATGTATGATATGTCAAGGTCATTATACTGTCATTTGTAACTAATTAAAACAAATTTTAAAAGAATTCAATTAAAATGTTTTTTTTCCTCTTGAGGAGAAAAATAACTCCTCCTTTTCTACAAGTCATGGTGTTTCAGTAAAAAAAAAGGAAAACAGAAATACATTTATACATGCAATAATATGAAGGAATGGCATCTGGTAGCGTCATTTTTTTTCTTAAGAATGACATCTTTAGAATGATGTCATGAACTTGGGAGTTTTCATTGAATGCTAGGTATGATTATATATGTCCAGTCATCTATATTTTCTTGTTTGTAGCTCTTTATGACTGAGGGAACAGATTTGAAAGATGGCAACCTGAGCTTAGAATTTAAACCCTAGGATGCATTCTGGACTCACAAGAATTGGGATTGGAGGAGCAGACATGTTTTACATAAATGCAGCTATGTCCCTACTGGACTAGCAACTGCCTAGAATCTTAACTGAAAGGGGCAGAAAAGAAGAATCTGAATATCTTATTTTCCTTCTTCAAAAAGATCCACTCACTTGTAATCTGTAACTGATATTTTCAAAGAATTTTAATTCATAAAGATATTAGAAAGGCAATGCCAGGCAAATTGTGAGGTCAATTTTTACAAGGTATAAATGGAACCATTTGGTATAAGTCCAGGGCAACTCTCTAGAACATAAAATCAAATTTTAATAAATGGTGCCCTATAGGCAGGTCGAGATATTTTACATTCTTTCTTTAGTGCTTTGCCATTCATAGGAGGATGATTATAGAGTGGATTATATGCCTGCCCAGTGACTCAGAGTTTCCTGGGGTTGGTGGTTTGTAAATGAGGAATTGGTAAGATGCCAGGATGGCCCTAGGGATCAGAGGGCCATTTGTTGCCCAAAAAACTGGTTTAATCTGACCCTTTGTGAGCCATTTCCAAATTCTGCCCAGTTAATCTGAGGATTCTGACTTCCATGCACATTAGCCAGCATTCTTCAGTCCTCCACCCCCAATGAGGACCAACACACAAGGAAAAAAAAAACTCATTTTCAAAATTCAATTTTTAAAATTTTATTTGAAAAATACAATACACAGCAGAGAATTATTTTCTCCCCTACTGCTCTTTTCACAAAAGAAACTATATGGTAAATGTAACTGAGATATTTGGCTAGGATAGATCCTGAGAAAAGAGAGGCCCAGCTAGAAGTGGAATAGACAAAGTCTGTCAAAGAAGGTTCACCTCTCTTTTAACATAAAAGAGCCTTTTAAGTTATCTTAGGAATCAGATAAAACATGTGCAGAATTTCTGCCATGCAAACAGAGACTACTGAAATTTTCAGGTTGACCAATTTATACTGACCTGGGCCCCAAGTGAGTAGAATAAAAAGGAAATGTCTTTATCTGAAAGACATGTGTTTGTCTGCTTTTGCTAGATTATGTATGTACATATTTACATATTAATACTTTCATAAAGGTATTTTTCATTATTCTAAGTAATAGCATCAGGTTAAGGTCTCTTTTCTGGCCTTTGCCCTATTTGCATGTACCTTTTTTGTTCTTTTTTTTTTTTTGATCATTCATCACACAAGCATGGGCCTATGATATATAAATATTAGAAATGACTTTACTCTGACTCTGGGTTATATCTGAGTTTTGAGAATTTATAACTCCTACATTCAGACAGGTTTAGCAAGGTGCAAATATACAATACTGACATACTCATATAGCCAAGGCTTCCACCAGAAAAACATGCCTGCTTGGATCCTTGGGAAGCTAATAAGGAACCAAAGGAAATAACCACACTCTGGAAGCCTTGCTGGTAATCCTGCTTCTAAAAAATTAGGACCATCCCCCTTACTCCCATTCCCAGTAAGTAAATCCCACTGCTGCCATTGCCTAAGTCTTTGAAGACAGTCAGACATTTAAAGCTGTTCATGCTCTAAATTTCCAGCAGAAATGAATCACTACAGAGATCTAAACTGGTAAAAAATAGAGATTTTTCTTTATTTGGCCCTAATAGAAGGGTTTTTAACTCCTACAACGTTGGAAATGGGCGAGTGACATCCATTTGGGGAACAATGAACAAGTCTTTGATTATCCTTATTTGCGGATTTCTGTCAAATTATGGAGTCAATTAAAACTCACTTTCTTTCAAGATTTGCTTCAGCCAATTCAACACCTGCTCAAGGGAGCCAAAGTAACTCAGGTTAGCTTTAAAGATTGTGAAGTCGCTGCCAAGAAGCACCTCTTCCTTAGATTATAGTGACGTTCACATGCTCGGTGTCAAAGATGTCCTGCAGACCCCGGGGGCCTATGGGAGAGGGCTCAGGAGACACATTTGATTCAGGCTTCACATTCATGAAAAATCTGATATTTTGTTTTAAAATAGGTTACTATAGGGTTGTTTTTGAAAAGTGTTCATTCTTAAAAAGTAAACATTTAAAATACGGCAGAGCTTTTGTGACCCTCTTTTGGCATGTCTGTATTTTTAAAACAGAGGTTGTTGCAAAGAACTCTACTGACCTCTGAATGGATTCAGCATTCAAAATGGCATGGCCATGGTGGCATATTTGAAAGAAATATAAGTCTGGGGTCCAAAGATCTGAATTTAAGTTTTAACTCTGCCTCTTTCTAGTTGCGTGGAATTGGACATGTTTGTTTACCCTGTCTTGGCTTCATTTTTCTCATCTATAAAACAAAGCCATACTTTTAACATGTACATGGAGATATTATGAAATTGGATGAGACAATTACTGTTAATGTATTTTTTCATTTTAAAGCACTACACAAATGCAAATTGAAATATGTTAATCATATTTCTAGAATTTATATCATTAAAATTGTGTATCAGTATGTGGTTATTTCCTATTTAAATTATGTGGAATCTTGGCCAGTAAAAAATAATCTAAGGAGGGAGCATATAACCATTTGAGGACATTGTTACCAATGGAAAATTACTCAATAAGAAGTTATCAATGCTGGATTTACTCATGTAGTTTATCCTAATTACTACCTGCCATCAAAAACTATTAGTCAACAATTAAACCACAGCTGTCAGGAGAAAAAGTCCAAATAAATAATTTTTAATTATGATACATTACTTATTACAGTAAAAATTGGCATTTTCCCCTTCAAAAGCAGAAGCACCAGTCTTAGAATGTATGCATGAATGGTATTTTAAGTGAAATATATTATAATATAATGTGCAAACATTATTTTAGTATAAGACATACTTTCTAAAAGTAATTTCACACACTGAATTCTGTTAGAATGGAAAGAATGTCATGCTGAATAATAAAATAAAAACCCCCATGACTTTCAAAGTCCACTTCAAATTAAATATGGTATACTGCTGAAGAGATATATAAAAAATTAAAAAGCTTAACTAGCCAAAAATCAAATTAAATATGGTATACTGCTGAATAGATATATGAAAATTAAAAGGCTTAACAAGCTCAAAATAGAGGGTTTTCTTATACAAATATGACTCATGTAGAAGTTTCTTCTTCACATAGTTGCAGAGATTCTTTGAGAAACTAAAGTGAATATTTTATTTAAGAATTAATTTTTCATCTGATCATTTCATTTTTTATTGAGCACCTAATGTGTGCTGCTAGGCTTTGTTGCAGATGTTGGAGATACAGAAAAGAAAGACACAGTCCTGCCCTCGAGGAGCTCACAGTCTAGTGGGGGAAACAGATAGGTTGACGTTGATTTTAAAATTATAAAAATTATTAGACAACTTTATAAACTTCTATTGTAATCAAACAAACTTTGGGTGTTACGAATGGATGGTAAAAAGGGATGATGTCCAATGCAGGGAAAAACCATCTGCTTCAATATCATGTGACTTCTGCGAAGGCGGTGATGTGGTTCTGCAAAAAGAAGAAATTACAAAGTCAGTCTTGGGAAAACTGGTTCTGTAAAATATTTAGAGCTTTTACTAATCATCATTAGCCTAATACAAAACTGCAGCCCGAGGATGTTTAGCTTGCCAAAACGTACAGTGTTATTCAACTAAAATCTGTGTATTATTACGTAATTTAGCTGTTAATTATATATTTTATTCAATATTCTTAATTAACTGAATAGATTAAAATGTTATACCTGCTTTATTCAAAATTAACACCGAAATTTGGAGAGATAAAAATGGCAATGCCAGACACGTTAATATTCTGTTCAGTGTTAATGGAATTTTAATGCTGCCTGTTGGAGTTTCAGATTAATTGCTCCCTGTGAGACAGATGGCGTAGAGTGAGGTGGTGAAATGCTCAGACTGAAGTGGCATTTGTTAGTTGACAAAAATCTACTTAAATATCTTATTTTTGATGCTTGAATTTAGATTCCAGACTGCAATATCTGTTTTTTACTTCATCCATAAAATTCTTGATAGAACTTGTTTTTTTTTTTAAAGCAACAAATTCTATATGGAGAAAACCTGAGGAATGACTAATATTTAAATAGCATCAGGCATGCAATAGGCCAGGTCATGGCTGCTGGAATATTGCAGTGAAAATTGATATTACATAATTAATCATGCCACATTTGGGATTATGTCAAGATCTAACACGAATGACAACTTTTACAGAAAACAGCAACATGACAAAAGGGCTCCACCATCACATTACCCATTTGGAATGCTTTTAATAGTAGTTGTCACATTGGCTCTTTATAATACAATGGTATCATAAACAGAATTTTATATAATGAATGCATGCCATGAAATGTCTTCAGCATAAATTTAGTTCATTTCCAGTTAAAGTGTTTTAACCAGCTAAAACACACTTAAAATGTATGTGAAGATGAATATGTATTTTCATTGAATTTAGGCATAATAAACAGCAAGAATGTGACTGACTATAATTTAAGGCATTGTTTTCTAGACTTGACCCATTTAATGCTAGAGAAAAACAATATTAGCAGAAGTCAGAAGTAAGCAGAGCATGCTGGCTGCTTCACGGAGTCCTGATAACATTTTAGAAATTTTAATTTTCCATTTAGATAATGCATGATAAAAAGGTTGGGAAATTCAGGAATTTATTGCCACGTTTTCCTTCCAAAAGTGCAGGCATGACTTTGGGACGAGAAACAGTTTTCAGAGTTATATAATCCACTATGATTGAATAAAAACCATAAGAATTGTGGAAAGAATACATCTTCGCTTTATTTCTAGTGTCCCTGTGGGAACTTGAAATCAGTGAACTGAGAAAATACAATCTGATATAGAGTGTTTCAGTACAAAACTGACATTAGTGTTACACCTCTGGACAGGACCTAGAATTAAATAATTGCTCGAAAGTTAAGATAAAAATTGAAGATTAATCAATCAGTGGCAAATGATGAGTAGGGAAGGAGTAAAGAAGAGACACGAAGAGAGAGGAAAAGACATAAAAATGAACAGAAAATAGTGTTCTGAGGCCACTGGTATAGGCCCTTAGTGTTCCTGCTGTTGACCCAAATAAAGAGGGGGCCACAGGCTCATTAAAATTGCTGAGGATAATTCTAAGTGAAGATGACAACAACACTCTAGTGGGTAGAATTAGATGTCTGGTGATCTTAACAAGGCACAGAAATCATTAGAAACAAGCCATGGATGAGCAATGCAAAGCTTGACAGAAGCAGAGAAAAGCCAAGTTCACAAGTGTCAGCTGGAGAGAGTACTTGAAGGGTGTGGTCACTGTAGGGGGCCACATAAATGTAGGTTATCATTTAACCTGGATGTGATGAAAGGTAAAAGGGGGCTGAACATAATCAGCAAGAGCAGACCTAAATTGGGACCATCTCAAAAAAAGAATGTAAAATCACAATATGCTATGATTTGAATGTGTCACCCAAAAAATAGGAGTTGGAGATTTATCCTCAATACAACAGCACTGGGAGGTGGAGCCTAATGAGGTAATTAGGTCACAAGGGTAGAGCCTTCATGCATGGATTAATGTGATTATTGTGGCAGTGAGCTGGTTATAAAAGGGCGAGTTCAGATCCCTTCTCTCTTCCTTCTCTTTCTCTTTGCTTCCAACATAGGATGATGCCACTTGAAGGCACTTTCCAGATGCTGGCCTCTTGATCCTGGATTTCCCAGCTTCCAGGACTGTAAGCCAACAGATTTTTGTTTATTATAAACTAACTGGTCTTTAGAATTTTTGTATAGATGCCTTAGTAATGAGATGTTGAACATACAACTCTAAGTGTGCTATTGAGATCCAGAAAATGCTGGGATTCAAGGTTGTGATTTAAAAATCACATGCTTCGGTGGCTATTCCAAACCAAGGAATATTACCCTTTCCTCCATGCCAAGTCATTATCAATTTTAACTACAAGGGTAACAGTTTATTTTCAGACTGACTACATTTTTAGATCCCAGAGTTCAGGGGGAACTCTTATGCTTTCCTCTTAATTAACACTCTTTCCATTTCATATCACATGTAAGTTTTAACATCTGAGATGATTTTCCTATTTGACAGGAATTAGAAGGATCCCACTTGGGGCTCATCATTTAAGTTGGCTGTGGTTAGCAGAGAGCTAAACATATGAAAATAAAACACTGAAGTGTGCATAGGGAAGAAAGGGAAATTTAATATGATCTCAGTACATAAAAAAATTGCACAGAGAGGACAGGGGTCTCTTTATCAACTTCATTGTTTAAAAGCAAATGAATCTATAATCTAAAATGAAGGAGATGGATTATCTTCTTGCTTATTGCAGGCTTTTAAAAATAAGATTATTTTTTTCTAGCACAAGGGTGATTTCCCCTGTAGGAATCTAGAGAAGGGACCAGATTATTATATAACAAGAAAATTATGTTACGATCTTTATGTTACCATCTGAGATTTTATATTACACAATATTCATCAATAAGGTATGTAAATACACACTTTGAAATATACAGATGTAATAATTCACATGAAAGAAATTATGATATTTCTCACTTCCCCACTGATGTTTTTCTCAGTAATACAAAAAAAAAAAAAAACAACTGCATTTACTATTTCCATATCATGTATCTTGATGAGCATTGGGCTCAGTATGAAGCAAGCCAAATGACAACGAATTTTTCCTTTTGTGTGAATTGTTTTTTTGTTGTTGCTACCGGGATTGAACCCAGGGGCAATTAACCACTGAGCCACATCCCAAACCCTTTTAATATTTTATTTAAAGACAGGGTCTCACTGAATCTGCCCTTGAACTCAGGATCCTCCTGCTTCAGCCTCCAATGCTGCTAGGATTAGAGGTGTGTGCCACTGTACCCAGGTAAATCTGTGTGAAATCTTAATTATGCAATACTAAATCTTGTTTCTGGAAGACAGTACAAACAAGCAGTAGGCAAACCAAAATCTCATGCATAGAAGTAAGTGGTCTTATAATTTATCAGCACAATTTCTGGTGCTGTTCACAATTACACATGCCAGAGGCTTAAAGTGAAGATGATAGAACTGCAACCCAAGTAGGTAAAGTTTGGAATATGATACATGAACTATCCATTAGAAAGTATTCACTCAGATCAACAGAAAGCATGGAGCAAAATACTGAGTCCAGTCCTTGAGTGCAGGGATCCCATGGAAAAGCAGGTACTTCATTTCTAAGACATCTTTTGGATTCATAAATTTGGAAAATTCTAAAACCTATAGCATGTCCATTTTTAATGCTCTAAATTCTAGATGAAAATCTATTTTACTATTTATTTTTCCCCCTCCCCATTTACAGAAATTATGCTCTGCAATGAATTTAAAGTGCTATTTAAACCAAACTATCATTTATTTATGGCATAAACAATTGGTGATGACTTGCCACCTGAGATTTGCCACTCACCACTTCCTTTTAAAAAAATAGGGGAAATGAGGGGAGAAAAAATAAAAACATTACTCTAGAAAAGTATGCCGAATTAAAGCTATATAAAAACAAAATGTGAAAAGCCATTATTAAGGAGCTATTTAGTTAAGGAATTTTAAATTCTCATTAATAAGTGAAAAATGAAAACATTTGAAAAATTAACAATAATTACAAGCAATCTATAGTGTCTAGGCCTCTTTTGGTTGTAATGGAATTCTGCACAGAAGGACACATTTTTCCGTATTTGCTTTTGCTTTGCAACCCAACTCCAATTCCAGTGCGCTCTAGCGCACATACGTTTATTGCCTTAAGTGAAGGTGTTCACAGTGGCTTACTCCTATTATCCAGCTGAACAACCTGGCCAGACAGTCTTTAAAGGACCTTTCCTGTGAACTTTCTTCTTGGCCATTCTCAGAAGGTTGGTTTTCAGACACCTACAAAATGTGTTTTACATATTATTTAAATATTTACTTCTTTATGTAGGAAAAGCACCAGTTTACGTTCTAGGTTGCTAACGCTGCTAGATCAAAAGCTGAGGTTAAATATTTTTCCAGTTCTTTCTTTGAAAATGCTTCATTACAAAAAGACTGGACTTTGTGTTTTAGTAAGAGATTGTCATCAATCAGGTTAGGTTTTTAACCTGAACATAAAATAGGATCCATGCATATAATGCCTTTAATTCAATGATTTGTAACTTTGACCCTGTTGGTTGGGGAGATGTGTCATTGGGCATTCTGCAGTCAGGTAGTTTCAATGTCCAGTGTTTGGATGTGCCTTCCAACACTGGGAAGTTTTCACAAATAATTTAACCTGAAGAACCAGCTTTCTCCTATGTAAAATAACAGATAATCCTATTTGAATGGACTTTATCCTATTTGTATATATGATATTTTAGACATATTGATCCTTATCCCTACTCAAATATATCCACCATTAATTTAAATTTATAAGAATCATAGAAACAAGCTAAAAAAAAGGTAAAAAGACAGAATAAGAAGGATGTGAAAGAAGAGGAGGGACTAGGAGAAGAAAGAAAAGAAAAAAA